TGCAGGAATTAGGTCTGGCTAGTGTAGAGAAAAGAAGGACTGGAAGAGACATGATAGCAATGTTCCAGTGTTTGAGGGGCTGCCACAAAGAGGAGGGAGTCAAGCTATCCTCCAAAGCACCAGAAGAGGCAGGACAAGAAGCCACGGATGGAAACTCATCAAAGAGAGAAGCAACCTGGAATTGAGAAACTTCCTGACAGTGAGGACAATTAACCAGTGGAACTCCTTGCCTCCAGAAGTGGTGGGTGCTCCATCCCTGGAGGTTTTTAAGAGGAGGCTGGAGAGCCACCTGTCTGAAAAAGTAGAGGGTCTGCTGCTTGAGCGGGGGGTTGGACTACAAGGCCCCTTCTAGCTCAATTCTTCTTGATTTAACTGCTGTATGTTAGGCTGGCTTCTCACTGGGGAGGGTGGGGGTGCCTCTGAGAAGACACACACACACACCCCAGCCTCATCCTCTGGCTCATCTCCAGCTCTCGCAGGTCTTCGAAGAGAAGAACGCCCTCACCCACCAGCTCCGGGGAAGCAGCCGCAGCCTGCGCGAGACCCACCAGCAGCACAGCGAGGCTCTGGCCCGCTGCGCGTCCCTCGAAAAGCAGCTGCAGGAGTTGCAGAGTCCGGCAAAGACCGTGGTAAGGCCAGGGAAGGGGCTGGGCTTTCCCCATCTCGTGGCACGGCTCGGTTGAGGATGAGGATGGCAGAAAAGGTTAGCAGCAGCAGCACACTCCCTTCTACCCAGGACACGGCGTGTAAGCGATGCTTGAGCAGGGTCTGCAGGATTGTCTGGGACGCTACCCATCCTCTTCACGACCTGTTCTCCTTACACACACACAGACACACCCACACAGACACAGACCCTTCAGGCCCCAGTGGAGGGCAGAAGCAAAGAGAGTGGGGGGGGGGGAGGCATGGGGGGGGCTCATCCTGCCTAAGCCCCTCTTCACGCCAGGTTTCTACCCTAGGGACCCCTCCTGACTGATGCTGCTCCTGGGGCCCCCCAGGAGAAAGATGAGACCAACAGGCGGGAGCTGCAGGAGCTTCAGATGCAGTGAGTGTGTGGTTGCGTGCGGGCTAAACAACTCGGGGTTTCTGGGGGGTCACCCGGGAGGGGGAGAGGGAATCCCCTTTGCCCTGGTTTCCCGGATCCGTTATAGCCCCAGACAAGATCTCGAGCGAGGTGTCAGGGTCGAGCCACGAGATCTGCTGGCGAATAGCTGACGCAAGCAACTTCATTGACTTCAGCCTCTATTCCAGGGGTAGTCAACCTTGGCTCTTTTATGACTCGTGGACTTCAACTCCCAGAATTCCTGAGCCAGCTTAGCTGGCTCAGGAATTCTGGGAGTTGAAGTCCACGAGTCATAAAAGAGCCAAGGTTGACTACCCCTGCTCTATTCTAAGAATCGTCCCCGGACTGCTTGCCTTCTCCAGGGAGCCACCAGATCAGGCAGTGGCTCCCAACCTTTTCTCTACCCCGCACCCCTAGGACGCTTCTGATATATTCTCACACCCCTTACAAAAGTTCAAAATAACGGCCACAAATTATGCATATACACTATAATTTTGACAACCCAAGTTTCCGCAGCCCCGGGAATATTGTCTCGCACCCCCCCCCCCCCCGGTCGGGAACCCTTGAGAAATAAGGCTTCCTGGGCGATAGGTGAGGTTTATGCCTCTTGCAGCTACGCAGGGACTCAAGGCTACTTCCCTGCTTGACGCCTCCTTCCATCCTGGCCGGCAGTTCCCCAACAGGAGGGTCTCTTTCCTTCCGGCCTCTGAGCCCTGAGCTGATCCCAGGGATGTCCGGTACTCGGTCTGCCTCTGAAGAGTCGGGGGCTATTCTGGGGGCTGCCGACCCCCCTTCCCCGCCTCTCTCACGGGGCCTCTCCTTGCCTTCTAGGTTGTCGGAGGCCAAGCAGCAGCAAAGCGGCGCCAGGCAGGGCCTGACCAAGCTCCAGAAGCTGCTGCAGGAGGAGCAGGAGAGGCGCCTGGCTGCCGAGGAGGCTTGCGCTGCTGCCCAGGAGCAGATCCGCAGGTGCTGCGGGGGGAGGGGGGAGAAACTGGCCCCCTCCCTCTCTCCTCCTGGCTGTTGCAAGGAGCCTGTCTAGAGGGGCTCCCCCTCTGCTCTGGGAACTCTCGGCCAAGCTGGCGGGTCAAAACGGTCGACTGGATGGGTGGACGGACCCCTCTTGTCCTGAGCCCCTTTCCAGCCTCGCAGATCCTCGCCGGGGGGGGGATGTCTTCCTCCCCAGTGCCCTGGTGGTCTTGGCCCAAGGGGGGTGTTTCCAAGGCTGATCAGTGAGAGGAGGAGGGGGATGCCTGGGGGGGGGGGGGAAGGAAGCAGGCACGTTCAGTCGAGGGGGGGGGAAGAGGAGGAAGAAGCCTTCAGAGATGTCTCCGGGGTCCCCCTTAGGGGTCAGGGAAGGTCAGGCTGCAGCGTTCCCTCCCTCCCCAGCCAGCCGTGGCTCAAGGGGAAGGGGTACTCTGGGGAGGGGGCTTCAAGGGGAGGGTGATTCTCTGGGGGAGGGCCGGCCTTGCTAGTCTACTCATCCGGGGGCCACGGGCGGCCTCAGGGACAGGGCCCTGACCTAGGCCTCTTGCCCACCCAGGTGGGAGTCCGAGGAGTGGGCTCAGTCCCCGGATACCAGCATTGCGATGCCCCCCGGCCCTGAACACCCCCTGCTGCCGGGGTCTGCAGAGAGCTCCTTCAGCAAGGTAAGGGGGGGCACACCGGGACCTCTCCCCCCTCTCTGGCCGGTTGGGTGTCCCTGCGATGCCCACAGCAGGTCCTTGGCTTACAAGAGTT